TTTGAGTTCAACATGTAAGAAGTAGAAAGTACAGGTATTTGTGTTCAACATGTAAGAAGTAGAAAGTACAGGTATTTGTGCTCAAAATGTAAGAAGTAGAAAGTACAGGTATTTGTGTTCAACATGTAAGAAGTAGAAAGTACAGGTATTTGTGTTCAACATGTAAGAAGTAGAAAGTACAGGTATTAGTGTTCAACATGTAAGAAGTAGAAAGTACAGGTATTTGTGTTCAACATGTAAGAAGTAGAAAGTACAGGTATTTGTGTTCAACATGTAAGAAGTAGAAAGTACAGGTATTAGTGTTCAACATGTAAGAAGTAGAAAGTACAGGTATTTGTGTTCAACATGTAAGAAGTAGAAAGTACAGGTATTAGTGTTCAACATGTAAGAAGTAGAAAGTACAGGTATTTGTGTTCAACATGTAAGAAGTAGAAAGTACAGGTATTAGTGTTCAACATGTAAGAAGTAGAAAGTACAGGTATTTGGGTTCAAAATGTAAGAAGTCAAAGTAAAAAGTCGTCAGAAAAATAAGTAGTGCAGTGAAGTACTGATACCAGAAGAATGTACTTAAGTACAGTAACACAGTATTTGTACTCCACTACTTCCCACCTCTGAAGGTATCACATGTCTCACCGAGTTCATTGAAGCACTCCTGTTGCTTAAAGTCTGCAGGCAGCGTGCCACTGTGCTCCGCCATCGGCCGTTTCCTCTGCTCTACGTTCTTCAAGTTCATAAACAGCTGGTGGTTCTTGACCTGAGAAGTTAAGAGACAAACATCAGTTAGAAAATGTAATAATTAATAATAATACACTTTATTTATATAGCACCTTTCATGCTTGACACAGCCCAAAGTGGCAATGACAGAAAATGACAATAACAAATGAGGAACATCATTAAAAACAAGGTATATTCTGCGCAACTGGAAAACAGCAAGAAAACCAGAACTAAAGGAATGGATTCAACTTATGACCTCCTTTGAATAATGTGATAGCTACGATTTTGAAAGGTGATGTCTTTGACTGTCTTTGAGCCATTCCTTTATGGGGGGGTTTCTGTTGTGTCTTCTTTTTATTTAAAATGTTTTATTGTAAAAAATTATTATTGGCGAAAACTATTTCATTATGTGTGAAAATAAATTAATAAAAACTTAAAGAACAAGAAAAACAAGCGGAAAGAGTTATATCACTGACTGAACCATAAAACAATAAAACATGAACAGTGATGCTACTAAAAAATTACGATTGCCCCAAATTATAAGCCAAGTAAAAAAGATATGTCTTTAATTTACTTAAAACAATTCCAATTGAGGTTGCTGTTCTAAGATCAAATAATAAGACGCATTTCCACTACAGGGCTTTAGCGGCTCGGCTCGCTATTTTTTGCTTTTCCACTAGGGGTAGTACCATGGATGTATAATGAGAACTGGATACAGCGTGGGAGGCGGGGTCTCGTTCTTTCCTATGAGAGCTGCTCATTGGCGCATGAGGACAAAATGGCCCAACTTTTGAGAGAGTGAAACGTCACAGATTACCCATCATGCCTGGCTGTCAGAGCAGAAGAACCCGTATGTGCGCTCACAGAGCATGCGCCCCTTAAGCCCCGCCCCCCGAGCACAAACTCTCGGCTCAGTAGAATGAATGGAGAGAGAAAATAAATCTGGATTCGGCTTTTAGTGCATTTTACAACTTTAAGGACCGAATGATTATAATAAGGTCTATAAAATAGTCCATACTGGGTAGTTTATTTAGTTTTTAAAAAAGTATCTGCTGATTTACAGACGTCTCTTTCCCAATGTTAGTCAATGGGGAAAAGTCTTTCTGGGCCCAGTGACGTCACGGACTGATACACAAGTTGTAGTACTGCCGTTTGGACACAACAAATATTTTCATCACAGTCCGGCGCACTTCCTGGGGGCTTTGGTAGTACCGGCTCACGGGTACTTCTTTAGAACCATCTCAGTCGAGGTTCCAAGTGAGCTGAAAATATGCTTAGCTAGTGACGTAAAACACTCCCGACAGCTGATTGGTCAGAGAGAATCGTCACAATTCTTGCGCGAGACAGTCCCCAAGCGTCGCATGTATCAAGCACCATTTTTAAAACAGACAAGCTACCGTCAGCAAGATTTTCTAATTTCAACAAAGTATTTTTAAGTTCAACAAGGTACGAGGTACAGACGTTCCTCCATCTCGTTGCGGATGAAAAAATACAGCGGGAGCTCGACGGCGAAACGAGAAAATGCTCCAGGAGCTCTCTACATTGTTGGCCCCACACGGCTTCACAAGGACTTTCCAGCAGTGTAGAGAAAAACAAAAAAAACTGAAGAGTGATTATAGAGCCGTCAAGGACCACGACGGCCGCCGAACAGCCGATCGCCCCCGCCTACACTTCGTGGTTACTATAGTTACTACCCTTGTTACTAACTGTAATGGAAACCCAGCTTAAAGTGAGCCAAACTGAGCCATGGCGAGCCGCGCTAAAACCTCTAGTCGAAATGCGGCTATAGACACACACAAGCCCTTCTATATAGTCTCAAATTGTAATCCCATACCGGTCCATAAGGAACGTTGTTGAGGTGCTGGGGGCCGATGCACTGGCTCAGAGTGTGGTAGCTGGGGTTGGAGAAGTAGCTGCTGGGATGACCTTCACAGGGTGGTGGGTGAGCATCTGAAAAAAGGACAAGGTCACAAGAAATCAGAGCATTAAAAGCATTTTAAGAATCAAGTGTGCATTTGTTTTGCTTACAAGCAGTCCCCCTTAATGCACACAACGTTGACAATGTTATTTTTACTGCACATATTTTATTCCATTCTATTTCAATGTAAATACCGCTTTATTTCATTTTTACTATATATTTTCTTATTTTTTTATGTTGTGTTCTTAAAATAGTTCTCTATCTGTGTTTTTTTTACATTTTAGTTTTACTTTTTATGTATGCAACAAGTCAAATTCCTTGTACGTGTCAACCTACCTGGTAATAAACCAGTTTCTGTTTCTGATTCTGATTGATCCCTTGTATGCCTTTGTTGGCAGTGGAAGTGTTTTTGTTGAATGTTTGTTGAGAAGATATCGAAGTATTTGGCCAACTTTCTCATGTTGTCTTATGAATAAATGATAAATGGACTGCATTTAGATGGTGCTTTTCCAGTCTTTGTAGCCTCTCATAGCACTTTAGGTCAGCGTTCACACACATTCCTACAGAGGCTGTCACCTGCTCAGGGAAACTAACATTCACACACACTCGCACACAGTTGGACAATTTGGGAGGATCTTGGGGTTCAGTGTGTTGCCCAAGGACATATCAACATGTTGACTGAAGGGGCTGGGAATCAAACTTTCAATTTGATTAAAACCATTTATCTCCTGAGCCAAAACCACCCCTAAACAATCTCTATGAATATCAGAAAACCATTAGCAGCTCATGTTGACCACTTGCACTTGTTTGGTTCATCCGTAAATACATCTTAGTTGCCACGGATTAACCATAAAACAACTACATGTCATGGTCTCCATTAAGCCAATCTGTTAGATCGTTTCCAAAAATAGCATTGCAAGCCGAAAAACAAGACATTTTTTAAGAGGTGGTCCAACACGAGGAAACAGTTGCCTGGTGCCTTTATACTGTACCTGTGTAATCAGAAGTGACCCTCAGAGCAGGAGTGTAGGTCACCGCAGACATGGTGGGCTCTTTGACCTTTTGCTTCTTCCTGTAGATGATGAAGAGGAGGAGGAGGAAGAGCACCAGCAGTACCAGGACGATGATTCCTGCGATGGCTCCGATCTGATACGTGTCCACCTGCATGGCTGCGCTGGTGAGACTGTTGAGGCTTCCCACCACCACACCAGCTGCAGAGAGGAGGTCAGAGGTCAAATAATAACACTGGACAAAGTACTTATTGGGTCAAAGGCAGAGGTGGGAAGCAGTGGAGTACAAGTACTTTGTTACTGTACTTAAGTGCATTTCTCTGGTATCAGTACTTCACTCCACTACTTATTTTTGTGACGACTTTTTACTTTGACTTCTTACATTTTGAACACAAATACCTGTACTTTCTACTTCTTACATTTTGAACCGAATACCTGTACTTTCTACTTCTTACATGTTGAACACAAATACCTGTACTTTCTACTTCTTACATTTTGAACCGAAATACCTGTACTTTCTACTTCTTACATGTTGAACACAAATACCTGAACTTTCTACTTCTCACATTTTCCAAACAGGCTGGTTCCTTTAGTTTGAATGTGTGTTTGGTGGCGTGATCATTATTATTTAGAGTCATTGCGTGCCTATTGATTTGAACACGATCCGTGTATCCATCATTTCCTGGTCTTCTCTAAAGAAGAGGGACCAATGGAAACGTTGTCATGTTGCCGTTGTTCAGCATGGAAACATTCATTAGCTAACAATGACATTATTGTTCTATTAATATAAAGGGAGGTCAGGTACTCTTTAAAACAGCTGCTAGTTATGGGTACTTTTTACTGAAGTACATTTCAAAGCCTCTTTACTTTTACTTGAGTAAAGAAGTTTAGTCAGTACTTCTACTTTCACCAGAGTATTTTTTAAACACGAGTGTCTGTACTTCTACTTGAGTAAAGGATGTGAGTACTTTTGCCCTCTCTGGTCGAAGGGAGATGAGTGTGAATGACTGGACATCAAAGGAAACTGATTACACTGAGTTTCCTTCCTCTTATTATTTTTAAAGTGTTTCCTCACCTTGGTCACAGCGAGGCCCCTTCCAGCCCGGGTTGCAGTAACATGTCCCGGTCATGTGATCACACATGGAGTTATTCAGACAGTCACACACCTGACGGCAGCCGTAACCGTACGACCCAGCAGGACACTCTGCAAATAACAAGTTTAATTTTTTTAATGAAAGCTTCAATTAAAGTAGTGTACAATAGTTTACAAGAGCTGATGATAGTTGAGATACCTTAAAGGTCCCCTATCATACTGTTTTTCATCAATATATTATAGGTCTCAGATATATACAGAGCCTGTCTCTGATCATTGCAGCATTACCCATAATCCCCTCTGTTTCAGCCCTGCTTCAAGAGTGCTGATTCTCTGTCTGTTAC